TCTGTCTATCTCTATCAGTTCGCTCTTCGTCCTTTCGCTTCCAGCAAAAGCGAGAACCTTCGATCACGTGATGCCAAGCCTAAAGTGCCAGCAAAAAGCGTAAAAAAAAAAAAAAAAAGATGAAATTTTGTGACGAACAAAAAAGAAAAAGAAAAAAAGATAAAATTAAATAAAATAAAAAACCGCCTTTTGCTTCTCTGCGACCATAAAAGAAGAAGCCCTCCCAAGCAACAGCAACACAACGCCTCGCCTTGTCCTAGAGAGCGTCGACCTCCCCGAGTGTCCGTAACAGATCGCTGGACTCGTTTACTTGTTCGACCGGAGAGAAAGAAATCAGAAGAAACGGTTGTAAGTGCGATCTGCTCCCTTTTTCGATTGCCCCTCCATAGCTATCAATCTTGATAGCGCTCTCTATGGGATGGTTTGGCTGTCAACATCTCTCTCAGACCTGTCTACTGCAAGCCCAGGTTGGCTCCTATGAGGTGTTGGGAAGGGAGAATGCAAGCATAATCCTCCGCTATGGCTTCAACTTGCATGGTTCAATGTGCAAGGGAGGGGATGCACGGCGGTATCCTGCAATGATTGTTATAACCACCGCCTACCTCTCCCACATCCTCCCTGTCAATCTTCTGGCCCAGATACTGGGGAATCAAGAGAGCAAAAGGAAGAGACTTGGATGTGAAGAAAGAGTGCCATTGATCTCTCCTAGGGCCTTGTGTTGGCTGAGAGTGGCGCTGCTTCACTTCCAACTAAGGAGACTGCCAACTTTGACCGCAACTGAACTCACCTTTATTCATCATATCAATTTCTGCTTTTCTACCCTGTTTGGCCTATACTACTATATTATATGCGTTATAAATATGGGCTGAATTCCGTTTTGCTAACTATATTGTCATTGCAGATAACTAAAGTACACGAATTCAAGACGCATATATCGCCAGCATGAGTGTCGTTGGTATCGACTTTGGTGCCCTCAGCACTAAGATTGGTGTTGCTAGAAATAAGGGTATTGATATTGTATGTTCAACCTCCTGCCAGAGTCCTCGGTTCATCTCTCACTGACCAAAGGCCCGCTGTGTTTTGCCAACCTTTTTAGGTCACAAATGAAGTTTCCAACCGATCCACGCCATCTCTCGTCGGATTTGGCCCAAAGAGCAGATATATCGGCGAGCCAGCCAAGACACAGGAGATCTCCAACTTGAAGAACACCGTTGGCTCTCTTAAGCTACTCGTTGGACGACAATTCTCCGATCCAGATGTCCAGCTGGAGCAGGAATTCTGTTCTGCAAAGCTGGTCGATGTCAATGGCGAAGCCGGTGCTGAGGTTAGTTATATGGGCAAGAAGGAGCAGTTTTCTGCTACCCAGCTTGTTGCCATGTACCTCACCAAAATCAAGTCAACCGCTTCTGCCGAGCTGAAGCTGCCTGTTTCCGATGTAGTCGTCAGTGTCCCACCGTGGTTCACGGATGCCCAGCGCCGTGCACTTATTGATGCATCCGCGATTGCCGGTCTCAATATGCTCCGCCTTATCAACGATACCACCGCCATTGCACTTGGTTACGGTATCACAAAGTTGGATCTTCCAGCTGAAGGCGAGACACCCCGGCGTGTTGCCTTTGTTGATATTGGCCACTGCAACTACTCCTGTGCCATTGTTGAGTTCAAGAAGGGAGAGCTTAACGTCAAGGGAACTGCCTGGGACCGCCACTTCGGTGGCAGAGCTCTGGACAAGGCCCTCGTCGACCATCTTGCTAAGGAGTTCAAAGAGAAGTTCAAGATTGACATCAAGACCAACCCCAAGGCCATGACCCGAACCTTTGCAGCTGCTGAGAAGCTAAAGAAGATCCTGTCTGCCAACGCCCAGGCACCCATCAGTATTGAGTCCATTATGAACGATGTCGATGTCCGTGCTATGGTCAAGCGTGAGGAGCTCGAAGAGATGATTAGACCACTACTTGACCGTATCACTGTCCCTCTTGAACAGGCTCTCGCCGAGGCTGGCCTTAAGCCAGAGGAGATTGATAGCATTGAGATGGTCGGTGGATGTACCCGTGTCCCTTCTATCAAGGAGGCCATCAGTAAGTTCTTCGGCAAGCAACTCTCCTTCACCCTAAACCAGGATGAGGCCGTTGCTCGTGGCTGTGCCTTCAGCTGTGCTATCTTATCGCCCGTTTTCCGTGTCCGTGACTTCTCTGTTCACGATGTCATCAACTACCCCATCGAATTCACCTGGGAACAATCTCCCGATATCCCAGATGAGGCCACCTCCCTGACCGTCTTCAACAAGGGCAACATCATGCCTTCGACTAAGATCCTTACGTTCTACCGAAAGCAGCCATTTGACTTGGAAGCACGCTACTCCAAACCAGACATGCTCCCTGGAAAGACCAACCCCTGGATCGGACGCTTCTCCGTGAAGGGTGTCACCGCTGATGCCAACTCCGACTTCATGATCTGTAAGCTCAAGGCTAGACTGAACTTGCACGGTATCCTGAACATTGAATCCGGATACTACGTGGAGGATGTTGAAGTTGAGGAACCAATTCCTGAGGAGAAGAAAGAAGGCGAGGTAAGTACTTCCATTATGCCGGCGTTGCCCCATGCCGCTAACTCATGTCCCTTTTTCCGGTAATCTTTACGACAAAGAGCGTGTTTTCTAACATAAGAAAACTGTGGAAACAGACCATGGATACAGACGATGCCAACGGCGAAGCCGAAGCCAAACCGAAGATGCGCAAGGTTAAGAAGCAGCTCCGCAAGGGAGACCTTCCCGTTGTTGTCGGATCTACCTCGCTTGATCCTGCTGCTCGCGAGAAGTTGGCCGAAAGAGAAAATGCCATGTTTATGGAGGACAAGCTTGTTGCCGATACCGAAGACAAGAAGAATGAACTTGAATCGTTCATTTATGAGCTCAGAGACAAGATTGACGGTGTCTACGCTGAGCACGCAAGCGAGGAGGAGAAAGAGAAGCTCAGGGCCAAACTCACCAGCACCGAGGTATGCCGGCCCTCCAGACCCATGCATGACCCGTGGAATATCGGCACTAACAAGAGTTTCTAGGATTGGCTCTATGAGGAGGGTGAAGACACCACCAAGGCAGTCTACATGTCCAAGATGGATGACATCCGCTTCCTTTCCGGTCCAATTGTGCAACGCTACCTCGACAAACTTGAGGCTGAAAGACAAGCAGCCGCTCCCAAGAAGCACGTCGAAATAAAGGGTGACACCGTGGACAATGCAGATGCAAACGGCGACTCCAAGATGGAGGAAGTCGAGTAAACTGCACGCGCACACATGCACTCATATGAGAAAAATGTTTATGAGATGACCTTTTCCTCTTTTTCTTTAGCATTCATGACATCTTGGAGGCTGGTATTTGCACTACTTACAGGTCCTACCGATTCCCCATGCCATACACCTCTACCATTCCCATGTTTCATATGTTTACAATGCAATGGCCTTTCTTCACTTCTGCTTTGCTTTCATTGCTATTTTCTCTTCTTCATCTTTTTTTTTTTTTTTTTTTTTTTTTTCTAATAACAAGGTCGTCTGTCCTCTTGCCCATTTATCGCCTGGTTGGCAGGTATAATGATCACAAACAGAAGGGTTAAAAGTGTTGAAAAATCGTTTCTAATTACACGGATAGAGGAATACAGAATGAATTCACTAGAATTTCATCGTACAGCAGCTTTTGTAGATGTTTTCCGTTTCTCTCTTGCTCCTCCCTTGGGTCGGTCGGCCTTATCTCGGCGTTTAGAGACGTGACCGAAACAGGCAATTACCTCGGCTCTTTCGCGGCAACCCTAAAAGCAACCTCCGCCCTTCATATAACGAAGCCGCAAGCCCTCGCGTGCTATAAATACCAAGATAGCGCCGCGCAAGGCCCGCATTCGCTTCTTCCACTTTCTCTGAATTATTGACAAACCCTCGTTCTCTCTCTCGGTGATATCGCTGATGTACAAACCTGGTTCTGCGGTTTCTTGGTGACGGCGCTCCGCAACATCCCTGGCTTTCAACTAGTTTCGGCTCGTATTAGCTGCATTTATAGCTCCGAGGTCCCCTCCATTTTTCTTATTTTATTTATTTCTCCCTTCTCTCGTCACATCTAAGCGTACCTTTCTTTCTCTTTATACAACTTATATATAAAGCGCGTCTATCGAAATGGCTACCGCAAGACTAAATGCTGTTTTAGCGCAGCTCAAGCCTGCTACCGGTGGAAGCAGCGCTGTCCAGAAGATGTAGGCCCACGCCCCGAGCACCATATGCCTGTGCAGATGGAATTTGAGCTTGAACGTTTGCTAATGTGTTCTATGCAGTACCCAGAAGAATCCCGATGATATTGTCATTACCCTTGCGGCACGAACCCCCATGGCTCGAGGTTTCAAGGGGAGCTTCAAAGATACCGAGCTCGATTATATTGTGTACTCCCTTTTGAAGGAAGTTGTCTCTCGCTCCAAGCTCGACCCAAGTATCATTGAGGATGTTGTTATGGGATGCGTATGGAAGCCTTCTTTAATTTGCTGCTGTCTCACGACTTTGAGCCTGGTTTAAGTAGCTAACCTGTGATTTGATAGTCGAACAACGAGCGCGCATCCAGCATCATCCGTGCTGCCTCTCTCGCTGCCGGAATTCCCTATACATCCGGTGCCTCAGCCGTCAGCCGATTCTGCTCCTCCGGTCTCTACTCCATCCAAGATGTCGCTAATCAAATATCCAACGGATCCATTGAGATTGGTATTGCCGTTGGCGCCGAGTCTATGACCAAAGGTCCCACTGGAAAGCCCGCTCCATTTGCGCCAGAAGTGCTCGCCAACCAGGATGCGGCTGACTGCTCTCAGCCTATGGGTCAGACATCTGAAAACGTCGGTGCTGACTTTAACATTTCCCGTGAGGCTCAGGACCGATATGCGGTTGAGTCTTTCCGTCGTGCTGAGATGGCACAGAAGGCTGGACACTTTGTTGACGAGATTATTCCGATTACCACAAAGGTAAAGGATCCTAAGTCTGGAGAGGTTAAGCAGATCACTGTGACGAAAGATGAAGGCCCAAGATACGGAACTACCTTTGAAGGATTGAGCAAGATTCGTCCGGCTTTCCCTCAGTTTGGTAACAGAACCACCGGTGGAAATGCCAGTCAAATTACCGATGGAGGTGAGCGGTTGCCAACTTCTTTAATTTATACTGGAAGAAATTTTGCAATACTAACACTCTAGTAGCCGCTGCCGTCCTTCTCATGAAGCGCTCAAAGGCTGAAGAACTCGGCCAGCCTATTATCGGCAAATTTGTCGGCGCTACCGTTGCTGGCGTCCCACCACGCATCATGGGAATTGGCCCGTCTATTGCAATTCCCAAACTCCTTTCCAAGTTCAACCTTCGCAAGGAGGATGTCGATATCTTTGAGATCAACGAGGCCTTTGCTTCCATGGCTGTCTACTGTATTAACACTCTCGGACTTGACCACGCTAAGGTTAACCCATGTGGAGGTGCCATTGCCCTCGGCCACCCACTTGGCTGCACAGGCACAAGACAGGTCTGCACCATCATGAACGAGGCAAAGAGACAAAACGCAAAGATCCTAGTTACCAGTATGTGCATTGGAACTGGACAAGGAATGGCTGGTCTGTTTGTTAATGAGCAGTAAATAGTTTATCTTCTTTTCATTAAATGTAATGGATGGCTAGCCTTGCTCCTTGGGTATATAGAATTCATGAATTATGTTCCAATGATATCAGCGTCATATATATTCATCAGGGATCCCGTTCATCCTTACTGCTGGGATTATCTTCAGAATGCTCCTGAGGCTTCACCTTTGCCATTCGAGCCTCAGCAGCGTTGGCCAGAATCTCTCGCCTACTCAGGCCTTTCTGAGAGTTCGCTGGCCGAGTCTCACTTGATTCTCCAGGTAAGCCGCCAAGAACAAACTCACCTCCGGTCCAACCGCCATGGTCTACAACCCCTTGGACATTCATATCTTCCCAGTCAACAGGATTATAGAATTCCTCATCACTAACACTTCGGCCCTTATTTCCCCAGTAATCGGCTCTGTCGACTTCTTTCTCAATCTGTCCTGTCAAGTCCCAAAAGTCCCGATTATGCTCACTAAACTCGCAGTGTGCAAGTTCGTGACATAATGTCTTTCGTATAGTCCTATAGTCCCTATATCCATCATATGCATCTGTTCGAAGTCGAAGTTCGATAACCTCCCCTTTATTTCGGTTCAGGCCGAGGGTACGAGACGACATCGTCGTATGCTGCGCGGGATCCATTTCAGTAAGTAAAGGAATCGAGAATCGATGGCTCGCCATCGCCTTGCGAATGCCGGGGTCATCTCGTAGACGAGCAAGGAAATTAAGGCTTCGTTCAGGATTGGGTAGGTAGGGTAGTGGAAGTAGCTTATGGAATGTATATTGGGAGGAAGATGGATGTGTCGGGCGCACGGATGGTTTTGCAGGTTTTATTATTGATTTTCGGGCCGGAGATGACGACAGAGGTCTCTTTAGAGACTCTATTTCACCGCTGGTACTACCCAGAAGGGTTATCTTTGCTCGAGGGGAATCTAGAGGTAGGGAGGATAACGGCGTTGGCGGAAACGGAGGTTTCTGCAGGCCCGGTTTGGGTGAAATAAGTAATTTTTGGTTATGCAATGGAATGGACAGTTTCTCTGAAAGCTCCTCCGAAAGATCTTGAAGTGTCGAACCGTATGGCAGTGATATAGAGTGAGCGTTGCCTTGATGATGAACCGTGATATTGATGTTGCCTTGCTCGTCTGAGATGGTCTGCATGTCGTTGGCGTCCATTGTGAATTAGCTAGCCAAAAGTCTTATAATAACTCTGCACTTTGCATATAGCTTCTGTCTCGAAGCCGACGTATCAGTTATTTATGCTAATGATTCGCATCCTTGTTGGCTTTGTATTTGGAAAGATGTCGAAAGCTGGCTGTTCTTCTGCTAGATGTCTGGCTTAATAATCAGTTACCGGCTTTAAGGCGGACTTAATGTTGCCGAGGCTCAACGATGAACCTTATTCTTCAGTGCAAACAAATATAAGTCAAAGAAAAGGAGGGCAAAAAGGATTCAAGGAACATCATCTCAAGTGAAATGCACGCCTACTGGATAACGATGGCCTGCATAGTGTGCAGAACATTAGACCCGATCCTGATAAAACCAATAACTGTCACTCCTTGGGACTGTAAGGTTTAACTATCAACCATGATCAGAATACCACCGGCAGCAAGCTGTACCATGATATATCCCTAGTTCAATGTGTTATCGACAGCCCAGTCAGTTGGCTTAGAGGCCTCCTTTCCACACAACTTAATGTTCAACACCGTTATTGGATGACTCCTCGGTTGGCCTAAGACAGAAATGGAACCCATTCCCGCAATTCACCATTCCACGAATGACTGTTACTGGTAGATTAGCCCCTGGCTGTCGGATACCAACTTGTGAATAGTTGAAGGCACCAACTTACTTCTCATATATGATTCTCCAGAGAGAAGCATTGCCATATTCTGCTGCCAGAATACCGATATAATTAAATGGAATGCTTGCAGGCACCCCTTCACAAATGCTTTGGCGCAAAGGATAAATGTCCGCCTCTTGGTACCGGTGGAAATTTTTGTCGCTCAACACTCCTGGCTCAGTATCATAGTTAAGCTCACTGATTCCTGTGATATCAGTGTAGATACCATTGGAAATATCGGTCCATCGAGCGTCGATGACATTCTGGCCGTCTCCACGGTGTCGGTCTTGTGAAGCCGGGTTGACATCTAGCAGATACTGACGTTTCCTCCTGCTGCCTGGCTTGCTACCAGTGTAATTATAGACCGTTTGATTCAGGTATTCACCGAGATATATAAGGGTATTAGAGCTGACCTGTGTATCTAAGTCCCAGTCCCATGGAAGTATCTATGCGCGTTCACCTGGGTTAGTTCCTATTTTAGACAACCCGCTCCGAGATATCCTAGCATCAAATGACGGTCTTACCTTTCCATTCCACCACCAACCTAGGAGTGTGCCGTGGGCTATCCAGGTCTCCAAACTGTTCTCCTGGAAAAATTGCAGATATGCTCGAATCATATCCGTCAAGCTCTCCACTCGATCTGCAGGCTCTACAACCCCCTTAAAAAACCTGCTATCATAATGGCGAAGGGTGCCATCCGTCCCAGGCTCATCGAAGTATTTACCAAGCGTCTCTTTCACGGGTTTCGATGTGGTTTGTGAAACAGCCATGATGGCATGGCTCATAACGAACGACACTAGAAACAAAAGCGACCTTAAGACTTTCATCGTCACTCGGCACACATATACCTACACTGTCACGTTTTGGTATTTCCTAGAGGCATTTGTTATGGGCCGGCTGGGTGGCGTGGTCCAAATTGATGTAGGAGCTGTTTGAACGAATAACTATATGATATATTAGCTTGACTGTTTCAACTGATAATGACTTCGGGTAGGATGCCTTATACATGTAATTCACAGGCAAGAAATAACAATAGGTTCATTAAGAAGAGAGGGAATGAAGTCTGCTGCATGTGGTTCATCTTCCTATGCTGCCCACGGTGATGCTTTATGTGGTCGCGTGCCCAGTTCCGCTCCTGCTGCCACTAAACCCATATAAGCAGCGCTTCACCCATGGTTCAATACACAAGTCAGAGCCGTAGCTTCCATTAGGGGCTTTTTTACATAGACGGAGGCGATCCCAGTTGCTTACTTATACGTTTAACGCCTGGTTTGGGGTTTATATATACCAAGTCCGACATCTTTTAGCCACGAGACCACTTTCTACTAAGAATGAGAAAGTTGTGTGGCAATATGAATGAAAGCCCAACGAGAATGCGAGTAAGCAATCAATAATATATGGTAAAATATATATCTTGAGCGCAGGCTGATGCTATCCATAAACACTGTGACTGAAAAGATGAAAGAGATATTCAAATCCTGCTTAGGCCTGAAGTTCCTAAACTCCTATCAAATATGAAGACAATTCCTATATAGTTGCGCCTGTCAATCCAGGACGCCGAATATAAATCAATAAAGACGGAGAGATGTCGTGGGACTAAGATACTCTGGGGCCTTTCGTAAGCCCGCACCGGTAAAGGAAAATAAACGATATGTCTTGTTGACCCGCATCCTGACATAATATAACAAACATAATATACTGCTTATGCATGACCTCCGTCATTGCTACTGGTGACACTCCCAACTTCAGACCAGCTAACAGGCGTGTAAACATCGTCCCGTGATTGAACAATGTCACTAATTGAGTCGTCAGAGACAGACTCAAACGGATCGTGGTTGATGTGGCTCAAGCTAGAAGTGACGGATGGTGCAGGTGATGGTTGAGTGACTGGGGTATGGCTGCCGTCAGCGTCAAAGAGAACCCCATCTGTGTGGGAGGTGGCTTGGTTAGGATGATCAGGGTGAGCGTAGTAGAAATCCGACTCCCCATCTTCAGTATGGGAGGCCGAAGAAGAGCCATTTTGGACGGGTATGTCTTGTTCACTAACGTGAATAGAAGCTTGGAAATCTGTGTCCGGGAACTCAGAAGTCGGGGTTAGATTCACTAGAGATTCAGATGGATGGTGGGAGGATGTCTCTGAATCCAGAGTCGATGCAGGAGAGGTATTTAGCTGCAATTTCTCGATAAGCGCACGACGTTGGTCCGGATTGATGCCAGGGATAACCATGGACACTGAATGGGAAGTAGCGTTTGAATCTCCTTGTTTTACGTTCACAGGCACTACCCGGGACAGGTCAGGCATTTGAACCCCCGAAGACCTAGAGACTGAGCCCTCTGGTTCCTTGTCAAACAGTTTAGTTTCCTTTAGCCGCCCTTCGCTATCCACAAGTTTATCAAAACTGCTCATGCTGCCCTCAGAAGTGGCACGTCGTTTTGCAGTTAGTAGAGCATGGCGTCTCATAATATCTTCCCTAGCCCTTTGTCTTCTTTCCTCTGCTTCTATTCCGGTAGCCTCAACCATAGATATATCATCTCTTTGCGGCGTACGCTGTTTATCTGGGCTGATGCCATCTCCAAGGCTGTGTAGAGCGAGGGCTATCTTCCGTCGAGAGGTATCAAGCCATCTTTGAACCTCTGGGCTCTCATAGGCTGCAATGCCCGCTGCGACGATAACTGTGACAGTTATCACTATGCCTAAACCAGCATTCTCGTTATTATCTTCTTCCATATATCACCTACGATGACGGGAAATAAATTCCAGGGGGCGATGGGCCTTCAGGTAAGTACTAACCTTTTGCCAAAGGGGCAGTCATATTTGAGCCTTGAGGGGCGGTATACTTAAGAGTGAGACGAGACCGTAATATGTAGGGCCGCCCAATACCCTCATCCAAAAAAAATAAGTAAATAGCTAAAGCCGCAAACCAAGTCTCTACTATATTCAGAGGTTCCTCACATCGGTCAGTAGCGTAAATCACACAGCGGGCTGCTGTGTGGCTGCTGAATGGTGTTGCCTTGCCTCGCCCTCGCCTTCGCCTTTGCCGTTCCGTCGTCATATCTGATAGCAAAGCCGGCTTATGTAATAATTAGATAAGCTCTTATCGCTCGACGCTAAACTTTAAATTTTAACCCCTTCTTGACATCAACAACGCCTTTTTGTACTTGAACGCGCGCGATAGCCGGTCAAACGAGCAAAACAACCAACCGGCTAGACGGTCTCTCTCCGGCAGCATGTCCCATCCACCAGCAGTACAGCGCAGCCTCACTCTTACGGAGGAGCTGGAGAAACTCGAACAGTCCATCACTTTGACATTACAAGGTAAGTGGTTTCTGGGTTCGCGGTATCGCTATCGCTCGCTAATGTATGGTGTCTATTGAAACGCAGAAATCGATTCCAATTTCAATAAAGCCCACCGGATCGTTACTTCTAGCATTATACCAATCGTTGAACAATACGCGGAGAACTCTAGAGACGTTTGGGAAGCTTCCAAGGTAGAATCGCAATAAACTGCAAAATGTACGCTTAATACATTCATCTGACAAACGATATTAGTTCTGGAAGCAGTTCTTTGAAGCAAGTGCCAACGTTTCGTTGTCTGGCTACGAGGAGCAACCACCAATTGATAATGAACAGGACGCTACTATTAGTGCCAACACAACCGCTACAGATGACTCAACTTACCGAGAAGAGTCCGAATCCTATGCCTCGCCTTCTTCGGAGCATATATCAATAAACCAGAAGATTAAGGATGAAGATGACCCTGACCTTTCGACACTTTCATTATCCCCTTCACACAGCACTCCGCGTGCCAGGGGCATATCATCTCGTGCCATATCCGATGATGATCCTACCTCCCCATGTATAGAATACTCCTCAACCTCTGACCAACATGAAGAAAATCTACCCGCTATTGAGTCACCCCTTCAGCTCTGCGACGCAGGACCCAGGACCCCTGGGAAAGGAAACCAGCTTGGCTACAACGAAATTGCTACACCTAGTACTTCTTCATCTACTGTGTTCAATCCTACATCGAAATCTAAGCTATCTATGGCTCTAAAGGGGGATAGGGCCGACCCTCTCATGCACCAAGTTCTAGATAAAACGTATCGTGTTCAGGCAACCCCACTGGCAAACCCACGAAGACTTACTACCGCTAAAGGGAACAATAAACTTAACATCGCTATTCCACCTACTTCCCGGTATAAGCTGGATGATTCTCCTCTTTCAAGCCCTGAGCTAGAAGCGCCCAAACTACACACAGAGTTGTTCGACTCACCTATGATTCGACGCAGCGCAGCCAAGCGCAATCACAGCAAGACCAGAACTCCTGGAGTTAGTGTTCTAGCAACACCTTCAAATAGATTCAAAGGAGATCCAAACCAATGGGACAGCGATGAGGAATTCCATAGAGGCGGATGTGCGGATGATGATGAAGATGATGACTCGGCGCTTGTTGACTTTAGCCCACCAAAGACCATGCAGTTCCATGTTCCGCAAAGTCGACTAATGAAAACTTCAGGTATGTTCGCTTCAACTTTCGGCTTCACCTTGGTTTTAACGTGGTACTCACATGCATTTCCAACGATACAGCAAAGGAGGCCTCGAAACGTATTGTTTCGGATTTACTCTACACTGCTGGGGCGAGTGAACTGACTGATGATCTGGACGATATTTATGACGACCCTAACAATAGTCCAAGTATTATTCGGCGCTCTGGTGTAGATGACACGTTTTAATCTTAAGTATAGATCAATAATGTAGTATTCAATTTCTACATGAATGATAATGGACCCTAGCAAGTCACCTGCATATCCATGCGGAATTTGATTGTTACTCCATTTTTACTACGAGACATGATTAATCTACTATCGTAATCATTCTTGCTTGCTATTAATTTGCTAACTACTAGATAAGTAGCAATGAGTTGAAGGGTATTTGGACAAAACCATAAACAAGTAGTACGCGCAAAAAA